GTTGATAGTAATTAGAATAAAACTAACGTTTTTCTATACTACAACGTAATACATTATCAAACACATTATGTTAGAAACTATCGGATTTTCTTGGAAAACATACAAACATTTTACGATTCAAAGACATGTTTTCTCTACAAAAACATGCTTTTGACCTCACCCGCTTTATGCTGATACTCTTTTGCAAAATTGCTTGTATTCTCTCAGGAAATCAGTAGACCGGTACCTCAGCACTTTTGAGAAGCACCTGCGTCTAGAGTCTCGTCTTATTTTGGGTACTTTTGATTATAGAAACAAGAATTGCACAGATGTCAACCTTTTTCCTATATGTATTCATGTAATGGTTGTATTTACTAAATACTATGATTCTAAACTATTGTGATACTATACATGAAGTCATCCACCCCCGAACGTTTCTGTCATTCTGGTTTGGGGGTGTGACACAAACTCTCTCAAGAACAAGAGTGCAGTTCTTCAAATAACTTCATCATCTAAGTGATTTTCACTCCTTGGTAAGTACTTCTACAAATTCCTTGTGTTCTTACACTCATTTATGTTCATTTCATATCTCCTTACACACACAAATTTCGTGTGAATAAATCCTAGGGTGTTAGGAACTTCAAGTGTTCTTCAAGAATATCTTGGAGTTTTGGCTTACAAACTCTTCTCTACACTTCAATCCTTTAAACAAAACAACCAATGTGAGCTTCATACCCCTTATTTTCGTGTTTTACTATCTTTAGGGGGAATACAAGCTTACTTTTGTGTTAAATCTTGGGATATATGCTTGCATGTGTGTACTTTTCATACTTATGTGTGTTATGCTATGAACTCTTGATAACCCTTCATGAACTCGAGATTTTATCCAAGTTTTTGGGTTATTGCAATAAGTTACTCTATGTGGTTTTACAAAATAGTTAGACATGTTGAATATGTGTAAAAATCCACCAAGAAACTAAAGAAATTACAAGAAGGAACCATATTTGTCGATAAAGTGCAAAATGGACTAAAAGTGTTATTTTCATGAAAATGAACTCCTTTTTGTGTCATTTTCGGCACTAAAGGGAGTAAAATGGTTATTTTCATAAAAGTGGACCATTTATTTATTTTTAAATAAAAATGGATCGAAAAGGAACTTTTTATCAAGTTTGGGCCAAATATGACATTTTAATTTAAAATGGGCCGAAAAAGGAATTATTCAACAAGGTTGGGCCACATATGGCATTTTCAATTAAAAATGGGTCTTAAGTTAATATTTTAACAAATTGAGCCATTTTTGATGTCACACCCCGGCCGTCGGCGGAAACACCGGGCGGTGTAACGTCATTTCTTGTATCATAGTTATCAACATCCTGAAAACACATGAATTTAAAATACGTCAACATAAAGTTGGTGAGTTCACAGGTTTTGACTCCATATAAAAATAATATTTTTTTTCTAAGTTCAAAAGTTTAGTTTTGAAAGTATCATTTTGACTCTCAAACAATTAATATATATATCCTAGGTATAATGGTTTACTTACCAAATAAGTATATACCTATAAGTCTTATATATTAAAAATATAAATGTTTGTAATTCCATAAAAACTAAGTTGCTAAGTATAAATCTTATTTCAATTCTATACGAGTAAGTAGAATAGGTATAGTGGTCTACTTAATATACAAGTAATATACCTATCCGATTTTTATACTTAGAGTATAAGTCCTTGGGATACTTATACTTAACATTTATACTTGTATATCGACAAAGTATAATGCATCTAAAATTTTGCTACCATGAGCCTGTAACCGCTGCTACGACCCATACCTCTGATAAAAACACACTCATGATTCCATGAGAAACAATACACTCATGATTTCCATGAGAACAACACTGTACGCTTCATCAACGCCGGAACAATAACAAGTAAAAGGATAGTTTGTCACTTGCTTATGGTTGACTGTAGCTAACAATCACAAGTGGGGTTGTCAACCCGTATACTAATTATACACGACTTCCTCGCTCACAAGGGATTAACGTTACAGTTTTCAGAGGATTTCCACTAAGATCCCCAATCTTAGTTGATGAATACAATTACTCATGTAGACTTCGACGGCTTCCTATAGCTCTAACAACCAAAAACATTTTCATGTCTAAAACCCTAAGTTACTAGACTATCTGCGTTAAACATTACTCCTAACTTCACAACATTTAGGATTATAACAGCTACAACTTGAGTAAAACCAGGTTTTATCTTGACATAAAATCAATAACAACAACAACATATAACATACCAAGTTTTATCTTGTCATAAAACCAATAATAGAAACATACTTTATAAATTAACATATAGAACTTCCGAATATAACTTCGGAACTATATCGCACACAACATATATATAGAATCCAAAGTATAACTCAAGATCTACATTAGTATAATAACATGCTAACAAGTTGATAATAGTTGTATATATTCAAAATATTATATTTAAACAACTATATCCCGGTTAATATAACGATCTACGTTGATACTAATATACTATCATTAGACATAATATTAACGTATATACAATATTTAGCATGCGTTTCCCCCCGAAATATTAGAAAGTGGGGTCGTGAAACTCACCCTAGTAGCGTGATCTATAGAATCTAAACGGTCAGAGGCTCGTCGTTGTCAGGCTCGGGAAGGGAAACGGCCTTCGGAAACGAGAGAGAGTGAAAGGAAAAGGTGTAAGGAATGAATGAGCTTTGATCGCTATTTATAGGCTGTTCTGGGCCATTTCACGTCGTGACATACCTAAGGTCACGTCGTGAACATCCATGAGTCCACCCGTAGCTTTAAACACGTGTTTCTAGCCCCGATTAATGTCCCTGACATGTTTCATGTCGTGAACTTCATGTTCACATCGTGACTTAAGGCGGCTAGGGTTTCTGCCATGTGTCATGCTCTTAGACAGCTGCATCTTCGGAAGGTCATAACTTTTGCATACGAGATCCGTTTTTAACGTTCTTTATATCCACACGTAGGTATTTCCGAGTACTACAACTTTCTTTTAGATTCCAATAGCTAATTCTAAGTCTATTTTAAATTCCTCTTATTATAGAGATTTATAGTGTTCGGTTTATCATAATTTCTTCACGCGAAGTCAGCAGATTTAGATAGACGTTCTCTATATTTTTGGAATCGTATGGACGTATACTTTGAGTTATATCATAAAAGTTCATACTTGTATTAGAATTTATTACGAATTACATAGTAAGTTTGTCACTTTACTAGTTTAACAAAATCACATTACATGATTGGCATAATCACATGTGATTGTTATTGACCTAATTTTGACGGGTGTTACATTTGACACTCGCGGAAAATATGGATCAATCCTAATGTTTTGGATAAAATTGAGCCATTTCCGACACAATCGATAAAAAGGAATACATTATTGTTATCTAGGGATTACAGTCGAACATATACTCTCGTAACACGATTCTAATGAACACACGATTACATAAACCGTTAAGGCTCTAGTGAGACATCATCTTCACCCGTACCTACCTAGCGTACAATTTAAGTCCCGTAGTTAGTAGGTATAACCAGAGTCTCCTGGAGGGTGAGCGAGATAATTGTGTATAGATCTATACGGGGATTGACACCCCTACACCTGAGTTGTTCGCTACAGCTAGACGGGGCCAGTCTAGGGTGACAAGTATCTTACCGAAACCGACGCTTGAAGAACGTCACGATAGGCATAACAGTCACATCAAGCTTTGTTATGACGACTCACATAGAGATTAACCTATACCATTTTATTACGGGGATAAACTTAGACTTCACTAGTTTTATATAATATAAAACTACACATTTCTCTTTATACACCAGTAATACTATTTCAGTCTTAGGGTCTAAGACTATAGGCACATACTGTCAGAAAATATTGGATTTTCTGGGAATATTCATTACGCACTCCAGTTTTCAAAGGGATACATTACACTCTGTTTCAACAAGTACAAACATTGTGTTGCTCGTTCACTTGCACTGTGTGGATTGTCCACATTGTGTTGATCGTCCACTTGCATGTGTGGATTGTCCAAATTATGTTGATCGTCCACTTGCATTGTGTGGATTGTCCACAAGCATGGTGTTGAACATTGGGTATTTACCACATTACTCCGGCCTTAGGGTTTTAAGGCTACGATTTCTCATACATACAGAAAATATAGGATTTTCTGGGAACACAAACCTCTCACATACATAAATATTGGATTTATGGGAATATTCAAATTACACTCCAGTTTTTCATACAATAGAAAATACAGGATTTTTTGGGGAATTTCCCGATACATTTCAAAACAAGATTAACAAGAATACACATGCCATAATACAAGGTTTGAAACAAAACTCACAAACTATTTTTATAGAAAATATTGGACTTTCTGGAGTTTACGAACTAACGCAAAGTTTTCGTACAAACATACTTATGAACTCACCAACATTTTATATGTTGACGCTTTCAAAATTGCTTGTATTCTCAAGAACGCAGTAGGCAGGTATAAGAGTCTCGAGTACCGGATGTTTCTGCTGCATTTTGGATTTTGCTTGCTAATGTCACTTTTGATGTAATTTATGAACAAATACAATATGTAAAACAATGTAAATTTGTTATCATAATGTATGATGTGTGGATTGCTATGTTTCAGTTATATTCAATTGTTATGATATTATACAATGACGTCACCCGCCTCCGGATGTTTCCGCCGTTCTGGTTCGGAGGTGTGACATGAATGCTTGATAAAATGAAGAAGAAAACTGAATGATTGTATTTCTAAGCAACCAAAATCATAAACCAGGGAATGTTCCCTTCTCTCTATCACGAATGATACTGAGAGCCACAATACAATTCTTACACCTCACACACCCCTGACCTCACAATACTCCTTTCTTTTTATTCTCATTTCTCTCTCTTCTAACAACCTTCTAGCCACTTTTCTCAAATGATTGTTTTGCCCTTACAGAGTATACCCGCATTACTCTTGGTTTGGGAACATGTTGTGGTAGTATTTCCCCATCTGTGTATCAGAGTAGGTTTCCATTGTATGACATAAGGCATTCTGCAACACAAAAACAACATAATTATATTACTACTTGTATATCACTGCCAAATAATTGTAAAATAAAAAATAGGGAGAAAGAGTTGCATGTGCATCTTCGGTCATTGAATTTGCATCATTGAGGATGATAATCTTAAAAGGTGGGCAAGGATAACCATAACACCTGATCACACAAGCTACAATATTAATCAAACTGTGGCTATGATATGAGAGAATAAAAGTCAAATAAAGCTCATATGAGAGGGGTATTTAGAAAGTAATAAAAGAAGGTAAACTATCTTTGAGGTAGACATTGTATACCCTTGATGCCCAGAACCAACAGCAACTACATCAAAATTCTTAATTTTGAATATTGTATACATTGATTCCACACTCATCACTATCATTCAGATCAAGAACCCTACATTAAATGCACAGTTCCTGACTGTAAAACCAAATAAACAGCACTCAATAACAATTAACAAGACCTAAAATTCCCAAACAGATCTTATTAAATTTAGGGTGGG